GTGTTACGTTATTATGAAAGTGCTCTCATACTTTAAATTGTATATATTTATATAAATATATGTGTGTGTGTGTCCGCATCTGTAGCCTGTTATTATCTCATTATACCACACTGTGAATGAATTAAAAGTAAATATATAAGTCGTCATGAACACATCTGTCCATCAGACAGAGTGCTGCTGTGCCTCCTGTCATCATTAATGGACGTCTCTTTAAAATGACAGCTCAGAGGAGAGGAGTTCTCATTTCTCTAACCGCCTGCTGCTTCCCCTCCTCTCTCCTCGGTTCCCCTCCTCGAGTCCTCCGCTCGCATCTCCTGTGGGCGGGACTAAGTCTCGAGGATAGGAGTCGAGGAGGGGAAATTAGAGAATTGAGAAGCCTCTTATGCTGTCTACGCAGTGGTCGTCTCAAATTCTACACCTGAAAACAAGACCTGTAAATTCTTAAGAATGGCCCCACCCAGAATAACCACCATACAGCCAGCACCTGTCTACCCAAAGAATAAGCAGGGTTCAGAAGAGCGGTAAAAGTCAGAAAGAGTGGCAGAATTATATCAGTGTTGGCAAGTACTTTTTAACCATCAAAGCCACGTTCCCCCATGATTGTCCTTTTTATGGAACTTCAAACAAAAGCTCTATAGGTCAACAAAATATCATTTTACAGCTATATATCAGTTTTTATTAATTGTACAATTTCTCCTTATTTAGTTGGAATGCTGATACAAGTAACAAGTACAAACCACAGACTGTCTGTGCCATGGCGAATACAGTCGCTGCTTTATTTATGTCTGTAGGCCGTTGTTATGAGTGTGGAATGAGCATAGACAACGTTAGCTTAGCCTGGTCGACCCGATCTTCATTCAGAAAACAAGCATTTTAAAAGGTGTTTTGCCTGCCGTCTTGTCTGCAGACTTGTCAAAGCATTAATTCATGGTTGTTACTAACCGGTATCAGTATGTTGTTACTTCGGCATCATTTAGAAACGTGTATTACAATTTAATCACGGTAAAATATGTTCATTTGTTGTAGTTGTAGCTCCCGAGCCAGCACGTCTTGTTTGAATGATGCGAGTAAACACAGCTGGCAGCCGCGGTGAAACTCCAGCGTTTAGAGCGATGCGATAGGAGCGATTAGAGCGAAGCGAATATTCGCATCGCGTCCGGTGTGAACGCAGCATTACAGACCCCCTCCTCCAACACACACGAACGCGCACATGACCAATGAGGGCACGAGATAAGTTTGTGCACAGATGGAAGGCTGACAGGCAGGTAGGCCATCCAGTTATTTTAGCCGGGCCGGCTAAAATGATTGGTCGTGCTTTTTACAGTACTGTTTGCTGTCTACGGGTCTGATTCTGCTGACCACGCCCCCCTGCAGGAGAGGTGAGCCGTGCTCTGGGGCCTCATTTATAAAGGGATATACGCTCAAAAAATGGCGTACGCCAGTTTCTACACAATGTTTGCGATTTATAAAATACTAACTTGACCTGAAAATGTGCGGTCCTCCACGCAAACTCTAACCCATGCGTACGCACTAAGCACACAAACGGGAGAGACGAGAAACTGCGACGCCGTTGGCAGAAGGAAGAATGGAGAGAAATATGTGGAAATAATACCATAAATAAAATGTTACCTCTCATTTATCAAATATGAAGAATTCCTTTTCAAACATTGATTAAAGCCAATCTTAAAATGATTAAACAAACGCCTGTTTGAGACTCCTCAGTGCACACAAAAACATAACTTGGAGAAATAAATAAATACGGAAATGTTATTTAAAACCACCTCGAATATGTTGTGTTAATGTTATGAAATGTTTTCTCATAAATGATGCGGTAAGCAGGAGGACAGAATTACGTCTAAACTGACGCCGTTTTGCATTTCTATAGGTTGTAGATACGAGCATGTTTTATATACTATCATGTTTAATCGTGTTTTATGCCGTTTGCCAAGACTTGATAAGTCGCTCGTAAAACACAGGAGGTATGGAAACTAAGAACACCATATGTGGTAAATTGTACAGCTAATATAACACAACACATTAGTTGTATTTCCTTTAACTGGTGGATTATGGATATATAGTTGCTGATCGACAGCTGGAACACAAACCACCAAATACAACAAAATAATTCAGATCCAGTCGTCATGACTCCACTCCGGAGGGATTCCCCGATCATTTCTTACAGTTTCTCATCAAGGGGGTGTCTCCTGTCCCCGGTACAAACACACTTCCTGAGGAAGGTTATGTGTATTTCTTTTGTCATTAACTTTTTTCGGACCACTTATTTATTTATTTTGGTGACGATCCGTCCTCCATGCTGCTACTCTGGTTCAAACTGCATCCACCCAACAATATGATTTATCTCGACCTCCCCAAAATAACCAAAATCTGACACGGTGTGAGATGTCTTTTTTAGCTGTTCTGTCGTAATTTCCTGCGATCTTCTTCATGCAGTCAGTCAAAAATGAATGAATGAATGGGCGTTTCTTTGACTATTTATAGGCAAATATGGGCGTTACGAGTCGATTGTGATTTATAAAGGGAAACAGGCGTAGGAAGTGCCGTACGCACTTCCCTCGCCGGTACGCAATGTTTTGTGAATCGGAAAATGTCGGAAAACGTCTGTACCTATTTTTTTGCTTTGTACTACGTAAGCAACTTTCCCACGTCAATCCTACGCAAGGCGTTATAAATGAGGCCCCTGATCAGCTGCTGGGCTGTCAGAAGAGGGGGAGAAAAAGAGATCTCCGTCCTCCGTGTTTTATTATATAGAGTCGTTATTCATTTGTTTTAAAGCTCAATAAATATCAAAGAAGACCTTTGACCGGCACTTTTCTAATTTTGTCCGGAAGATTTAAACTTTAACGGACATCTTGACCGGCGAAAGAAACTGAAACTGAAACTCTGCCGCACGGTCCCCTCGTTCCTTGGAAGAGGCGGAGAGGAGGGTGTTTGTCATCTGCTGGTGGACTAACCGGAGAGAATTACAGTGCTTGCCTCGACGGGGAGGGATTGCATTGAATTAAAGCAGCAGGAGCAAACGCTTGCCTCGGGGAGGGAGAAAAAAAGCCACAGCGGAGAATAAACAGAAGGGTAACCATGGTAACTATGAGCGGGAAGTCTTCTTCGCTGCTTTTGTGGCAGACTACAGCGCCACTTACAGGCCTGGCATATGTACTACAGCGTCTCCAGCGCTTTCGAGCGGCAATGGCCGGCCGTGGCCCAACCCCACATTCCCCTGATAGGTGGAGAGTTGGCCCAATAGCCGTAGCCCCACTTCTGTGGACGACATAGAAGTGTTCAAATCTGGATCAGTCTGTATCAGATCCGTTGCAGCCCCTTTTTTAGAGATTTGGGTATGGAGGAAAATAGAGAGGGTTGTGTTTTCTGACACTTGGTGAGTTCCCTGGAACACCGGGGACACATATTCATGTATAAAAGACGTACAAAAGTGCATTTTGCATGATAGGTCCCCTTTAAATGTTTCCATCTTATGCTCTGTAAGTTTGTTTCGTAACGGAAGAAATGTAAATATATTTAAAAAACGGACAAGTCAAATCAAGCAATCTGATTGGTCGATAGCGTTTTTGCGGACCTTTTTGATTACAGATTTGAAAACATCGTTGCTTGCTTTAAAAGTAGCGCAATTCATTATGTCAAACCTTGGAAAGTATCTAGATATCCCTGCCCTAATGCCAAAGGAACTGCACACTGAATATGTTTTTCCATTTGATGTCTATGTCTGGACCGCTGCGTAAAAAGGAGGGTTTCTGCCCCGTTATTTCTCCGCTGTTTTCTTGTCCCAGTTTGAAAAGCAGTTTGCTTTTCAGCCCAACTGTATAGAGAGGCGAAGTCCCTCCCTTTCCGGGGGGGCTCCATGGGACCTTATTTCGGAAAAAGTATGTATTGAAGTCAATGGGGAGAGAAAGATTATCTTTCGATTCCGTTTGAATTGAGCCACGAATTACACATATGATGTTTGTCAATTTAAAAGATAATTTTGCAAGTCAAAAAAATAAAAATGTGTCGTAAAACTGTGAAGTAACACTTTTTTTTGGTGAAACCGCTCAATGAACTACATCTCTGGTCTCGCACCACACACCAAGACGGCCGTCACGTCACATTTCACCTCTTTCTTTCAGAATGAGGCGAAAGGTATTAAAAGAGGTGAAAATCACTCCAAGTCTGGGCATGTTGAGAGCTGTACATACACACAAGGGGAGTTAGTCGGTTCCGTAAGAGCCAGCATGTGGGACCGGGATTCTGGGATTTGGAGTCTTTCTAGTTGCGTATTTTTCATAGTCTTATATTTCAACAGTTTTACTACAAACTGTGACTTTTTTGACATGGAAATTATTTGTTAAGATTGACAAACATCATATGTGTAATTCGTGGCACAATTCAAACGGAATCGAAAGATAATCTCTCTCTCCTCATTGACTTCAATACATATTTTTTCCGAAATAAGGTCCCATGGGTCGGAAGTAGATGGGCGGGGACTTCGCCTCTCAGTTTTTCTCAGACGCGGAGGGATACTGACTTGTTGTGAAAAGTAACTACAATTCTACCCGTGGTATACGCTCAGTATATCACGGCTAAGAACCAATCAGATTGCTTGATTTGACTTGTCCGTTTTATAAAGGCTATTATATGTTTTGATTATAATTATTGATGCATTAATGTGTTATCAAAGCTGGTAAAGGTGCAGCTAGTTTTAATGACATTGTATACTGCAGGGTAGCTTGTGCATTTACTCCAGGTGTGACTAAAGTGTTGATTATATTTCACATTATTGATCCAAATCTGCAAAGTAACTAAAATAGATGTAGTGGAGTAAAAGTACACAATTTAAGCTACTTCTGAATTGTAGTGGGGTAGAAGTACAAAGTAGCAACACATTTATATACTCAAGTAAAGTACAAGTAACCATACTGTATGTATACAGGCGTGTGGAGGGGAGCGCTGAGCGGGCAGCAGCCCACAGGAGCTCTTCCATCTTCAATATGCTAAAAAAACGCAGTGAAGTCCAAGACCTGGACAACGAGAACCAGGAGAAGCAAGAAGTAGGTTAACAGGAACTCACGATACTTACAATAACTTATACACACACCTTCTTAAATATCCAAAACCTTTTCATGACGTGGCATTTTATTTTTATTAAAAAACAACAACATGTGTTGATCATTGCCTATAATCTGCACGATTAGTTGGATCATTATTGAGATTAGGATTATTCTTTTTTTATAAATGACAAAACATTTTTATTGCACTTTGAAACTTCAGTGTTCCTTTTTTTAAATCCAAACCACTATATCGCATTTTCTGTTGTGTTTCTACTGTATCCACAAAAATATATCCATATTTCTAACCACATACAATATATGATCTTTCAATAATATTACCAAAAAAACTAAACATTTTGTAAATATTTAAGACCCTGAGCTCTGGGAAGTATCCACCAGTATTTGTAATTGTGATTCGTGCTAGTCAGTTTTCTCCAGGTATCTGCTTAACCCAGAGTGACATCCATCTAAATCCATATATTTGTAATTCCTTCATTAAAGGTGGGGTACTGTAGGTAATTTTGGAGAAACCAGCTCGAGTGCGCTTGAATTTGAAAATACACAGTCGGAAAAAATCTGCCACTTCCTTACAGAGCCCCTCCTCCAACACACACGAACGTGCACATGACCAATGAGGGCACGAGATAAGTCTGTGCACAGATGGAAGGCTGACAGGCAGGTAGACCATCCAGTTATTTTAGCCGGGCCGGCTCAGATGATTGGTCGTGCTTTTTACAGTAGGCCTACTACGGCTTCCACAGATGACATTTTTTTATGGATTTTTTGTCAAAGCACTTAAGATATTCATTGCTATCGGGATGTTAAGAGCATTCCAGGGAATATAACACAAAGTGTATCTCGAGCCGGTTTCTCAAACTTACCTAGCCCACCTTTAATAGCTCATCGTGTCAAATGCTATTATTAACAAATCGAACAGTTACCAAGTGTTGATGTTTCCCACGCAGTGTAACTTTCTGATTTAATGCTCACTGTCCTGACTTACCATCATAAATGTTCCCAAGTCATGTTTGCCTACTATGTGTGTCTCATTATAGGAACTGGAGAATTTGCAACAGCGTGAAGATGAGTGGCAGGAGAAGATTAAGAAAGCTAACAAGATGAACCTCAGCTTTGAGAAGATTCTCAGGGTACAGTGAAGGACCATTTCACACACAATTCCTGTATGAAACTGTACCTAACGTTATTTGATTTTAGTGTCATAGCTGGAACTGAAAACACTAAACTAAATCTCTCCATCTCCCTCCCTGCAGGACCAGTATACTGAATGTTCAGAGAGAGCAACGAGGGAGAGGAAAGAGGTTCTTCATCTGGATGCAGAGCATGAGAGGCTGGTGGTGGAGTTAGCTGAAGAGCTGCAGAGCAAGCAGGAGCGAGAGCGCCAGCTAGTGAAACTCACTCCGTACGCTGTGAGCTTCGAGCGGGCGGCCAAGTTGACCAAGGTACTGCAAGGGATTTTTTTAGAAGGTAGAGAATCTAATTTAAACATGTTTATTGTACAGGAATAGTCTGTGTGTGAAATCATAACAATTACTTTTATAATTGTTTTGATCTTTCTAAATCTTGTCTCTTGATGATGTCCTCAACAGTATTCACACACATTTAATATATGGCATTGTTGTGAGGAATAGCATTTCTGTCTCTTTCTTCCTCCAGGTTTATGTTTTATTTAAAAAAAAAATGTTTGTGTTTATGATGTTTGCAGGTGTGGTCCATAAAGTGTATTGATTAGATAATGAATTTGAAATAATGGAGTTACATTGTGTGTGGTTTCCATGTGTGTGTGTTACAGTTTAAGGATGCAAAGAGTCTCGCAGATCATATGGAGAACCTTCTCCGCATTCGAGAGAGTCACCTTCAGAAGGACCTGAAGAAGCGTGAGAAGTATGACGAGCTGAGGAGAACCCTGCAGTCAAAGCAAGAACAGCATCGCCTCATGCGTCTGCAGAAGAACTACGAGCTGTCCCAGATGGAGGTGGAGCATGAGAAAGAGCGCTCTGAAGTTCTGGAATGGGTACGAGAGCTGACCCTGGGTCAAAGTCCGGCATCAAAGCTAACACCAAATCAAATGATGATCTTCTGTGTGAAATGAAGTTGTCCCTGTCCCCACACAGGAGAGGAAGTGGAACCACATTCAGGAAACCGCATCAAATGAAACACTTCTCCTGGGACAAATCAAGATGGCGACACTCAACCTCTACGAAATGACGTGTCAAGACGAAAAGGCAGATGAAGCGGTTGATATAAACGACACAGAGAAACAGCTGGACCAGGTGTGTACCCCAACAGAGCAGAGATGGAGGTAAAAAGCAGACAGAAAAATATACACTTGTAATTTTTTTACTGTCTCCTCAGGTTAAGACGTTCATTCAAGACACCGACGACATGGTCAAACAACATCAGACTTCTTCACAGAGACAAGATGGAAAGAAAAGAGACAAAAAGAGCTTTCCAAGTCACAGTAAAAAAAAGGCTTCAAAGTAACCTTTACCATGAGTCTCCTCACAGCTTTATGCTGCGTTCACACCGGACGCGATGCGACGTTTGGGGGCGGCGCGATTACATGTAAAGTCAATGCAGAGACACGGACAGACGCGAATTCGCTCCGACGGTGCGCATGAAGCGGTGGACGCGGCACGAATCACGCGATTGAGGCGATTGAACGGTGCCGCGTTAAACGCGAGAGTTCCATTTTTTCAACTCGAGCGTCAAATTCACATGACGCGTTCTCGCGGAAGCCAATCAGCGGTGGGATTCCCTCTGACGTTCCTCTGACGTCCTGCTGTTAATCAGTTGAATTAAGATGGAAGAGAAAATCGTTGTTGCTGTCAGTGGGTTCCCGGAGATATATGATACAATGTCATATATCTACCGGGACCGCAACAAGAAAGAGCTCGCATGGAGGAAGATAAGTGAGGAAGTAGGCATACCTGGTAAGTTATACAAAATATACATCCGTTGTTTGCTTGATTACAGATTTAGCATTAACCAAGTTAGCTCAACCGCCGGTTTAATGGCAGATAACGGTTAAAAGTTACCGTTTGTAAACGTTTTTTTTCTTGTCAGAGGAGGTATGCCGAAAGAAATGGAAGAGTTTGAGGGACACCTATGTCAAAGAAAGGAAGAGGGAGAAGGAAGAGAAAAGGAGTGGGTCAGCAGCAGGGACCAATAAAAAGTGGAGATACTCTGCGGTCCTGTCCTTCCTCGACCCATTTGTTACCCCGAGAAAAACCACCAGCAATATGGTGTCGGGGGTCGAGGAAGACAGGACCTCAGAGTATGGAGGTGAAGCACAGGGAGCAGATGGAAGAGGTTGGTTGACAAGTGGAGACACTCATTCACACTGCATAGGAAAGTCATACAAAATATCTACAAAAAAAATGTAAAAATCAAAGTTTAAGAGAATATCAAGGCTATAACTGCTTAATTTATCAATAAGTAATTATAATAATACAAGTGCAATTGTAAAAAGTTGTATTCTCACAAAATCTAGAATTACATTACCTGTTCCATTTTACTATCTCATTATTATATTTGCCTCAATGGAATACAAAATACATCTTTCTTATATTTTCAATATTTACAGATGAACATGAGTTTTCAGAGGGCAGTGAGGCGCATGATGATGCCCCTGATGCCCCTGATGCCCCTCCTGCTGTCCCTGCTGCTGTCCCCACTGATGCCCCTGCAGGACCTAGTGGTGTAGGCAGAGCACCAAGGGGTATGTAAATGACAGTTTTGATTGCATTTTATTGTATTGATGCATTGCTGTACCTTCACTAAAAAATGCTATTTGTTTTTGTCATGCAGGAAGAAAAAGGCCCAGGAGTGAAATAAATGAAAATGAGGTGCATGAACGCCTCCTTGAGGCCCTGGCACAGAGGTCTGGTGCTCTGCCTGCCCCACTCTCGGAGGATGAGCATTTCCTCCAAAGCCTGCTTCCTTCCCTTCAAAGACTGCCAACGCAGCAGAAGAACTTTGTGAAGTTTGAAATACATAAATTAATTTATGAAGCAAGCACAGTTGTGCTAAATTTGGAATTTTTATAAATTACCTGCCATGGGTTGACAATCTTTGAAGGGAACAAACCAGGCTTTTTGTAAATATTTATAATCATTGTATATAGTTTATATTTTTAAATTGATAATAAAACTTTGTTTAATGATACCCACGTATGTTCCTTTATTCTTTCGCCATCACATACTTTTCTTTAGGTTTCTTTATGGTCATCACATAATTAATAATGTAATTAAGGTGATTGTATTTTGCACAGTAGTGTAAAGTAACTAACTTTGACTTGTAACAGAGTATTCCTAACAAAACCTGAGAGTGGAGACGAGGTGCGACAATATTACAATAATTTATTTATATTTAAACAAATAAACGAAGCCAGCAATAGGTCCCCCGAGGCTGGCATGAAGAGAGTGGCAAGAGGAATGAGGGCGAGGGACGAATCCGGTTTGGCTCTCGGCTCCCCGACACAGGTGCAGCTCATCAGACAAATGCCGGCCCCACAGCACTGTAAGCACACACACACACACACACACACACAGAGCCGACGGCACCACTCGTGGTGTGGAGGGGTCGTCACAATAACAGACTGCATATTTTCATAATTCTATTACATTTAAAGTCAAAATGTACTTCTATTATATGCTTTGCCTAAAATCATAAAGTCATTTAAAAAGCAGAAAGTGGCACTACCTCACAAAACAATAATTCATGGATTTAACAGAAATAATTATATGAATTGGTGACCTAAATCTGGTGTTGGGATAGAAATGTTGCAGGAGGTTGCTCAATAGTATGTGTGGGTGGCTCTTAAAAGAGCCTTTTAATGTGTGCTGGTGCATTACACGTCGTCTTGCCATGGGACCGTTCCCTCTGCATTGAAGTATGATGTGAAGACCTCCCGAACTCTGATGGCCTCTCTTGCGGAGTTGTTGGCTGCAATTCTTCCTAGACCTGGCAGTGGCTCCACATCAGCAACTGAGAAGGCCCTCTGTGTGTTTGCCTGGGTTGTCCTGCGCAAGAAGTTATGGAGAATACAGGTAGCCTTCACAAACTTCTCTGCAACTTCTGGCTGGACCTCAATTACACGCCTGTACATCCTCCACTGGGATGAGAGAATCCCAAAGGCATTCTCTACAACAAGCCGAGCTCGAGACAGACGGTAATTAAATATTCTGCGCTCTCTGGGAAGGTTGCGCCCAGGGAATGGCCTCATGAGGTTTTTCCTGAGAGGAAAGGCCTCATCTGCAACAAATACATGTGGCAGGGGTCCCAGGTGGTCACCTCCTGAGAGTGGCAGGCCAGCAGGCAGTTGGAGGGAGCCAGATTTCAGGGCTTGACCAAAAGCAGAGTTGGCCAGAATGCCACCATCACTTGTTCTTCCATAGCCCCCAACATCAATGACACGAAAGCAACGCTCTGCATCCACAACTGCCAAAAGAACAAGTGAGAATGTTCCTTTGTAATTGAAGAACTGGGATCCTGTGTTTTCTGGGGCTTTGAGGACAACATGTTTCCCATCTAATGCTCCACAGCAGAGAGGAAAGTTCCACCGCTCCTCAAACTTCTCTGCTATTAGCCGCGTTCACACCGGAGTACTTTTCACCGTACTTTACGCGTTTAGTTCCGTGAGTACCCCTTATGTCGCGTTCACACCAAAAATCGTACTTAATCTCGGGTACTTTTACCCCCATTTTTAGAGCCCGCTGGGAGAGCGTACTTTTCTGTGGGTGAAAAGTGCCCCAAAAGTGCCCCAGTGCTGATTGGCTGGGCGAATTGCAAACCACGCCCGTACAACTGTGAAAATGTTGTGTGGAGACGCCATTGTTTTTCCTCGCTACAAAAACCCAACGCAGCGTTGGGTTTGTTTTTGAAAGCAGTTATGGCAAGCATCAAGAAATGATGAGGATGGTGTCGGCGCTTCTGGAGATCTACGCCGAGGACGCGACCCAGGGAATGCTACTGAAGCCAGTTCAGTAGCTTTCACTCGACCTGGGAATCGTGCACAGCCGGCTAAAAATAAAGAAACTCAGGACTACAAACGGCGGATTCAGTGGCCAACGATGACTACCACGACGAAGGTAAAATCAACTACATGCACTGGGGTTTTAATCTGCACAATAATGGTCTCAGATGTACTTTTATTTGCTCAGTAGATCAAGCTAGCCATGCTAGGCTGAATAGGCTAACAGCGGCCCCGAGCTAGCTACATCTAGCTAGCTAGATATTCTTGGCCGCTATGAAAACGTTTTGACTTGTGAATAACTGTGCAGTGTTTCTGTAATTTGCTTCACTAACTCATGGCACTAATCGTCTGTTTCAGGCGAGGATGGACAACTCTCGGGATTGGAAACAAGCGAGCTTTGCATTCTAGATCACAGCGCTTGGTCGTCCTCCTTACCAGCAACCAAACGCAAAGGTACACACACTGTAACTTTGTCTTGAAAGAACGTTACACATCGAACTGATGTTCACAATCATGTTTATTTCATAATATTCATCATATTTTATGTTTAACTTGCCTCAACAACATTAAACAAAGTTCAAGCATACATGAAGCACTCTTCAAAAAGGAACAATCCTCCGTGTTTGAACCTCTTAAATCGCTGCATAGCCGATTTATTTGGACTGGATTATCCCAGAGAGGCTAAACATTCTTTATAACACAGTTTCAGATTTGTGAAACCTTTAATTCTATTTGTGAAAATACAAAAAAGAGAGATTTTAGTGCTTTTTCGCATCCTGGCCACATTAGACCAGGTCCTGATCTAAAACCACTATACCTAGACTCATCAAATCTGGACTGGATTATCCCAGAGAGTCAAAAGATTCTTTATAACACAGTTTCAGATTTGTGAAACCTTAATTCTATTTGTGAAAATACCAAAAAAACATTCCTAGTTGTTGTAAAACTACATGGCGACTAAACAGATCTTGTATCTTGCTTATTTTCCCCTCTTAGGAAAGTGGACACGGGATGCGAATTTCTTTGACACCGCCCAGGCGTTGGAGGACCGGCGTGCCGTGGTGAAAGAGTCGATGCACGGGGATCATATGGTGCTGTTCACCAAGGCCCAGGAAACGGAGGACAAGATGCTCACCAGTTCATTTTATATTATTGTTATTACTGTTATTATATAGTCTTGATACAACTGACACTTTATTTTATATTGATAATGTTAATTTACATGTACAACTTCTATTTTATTTACATTAAAAATGTGAACTTCTATTTACTGTTAAACAGATCCTGTAGCTTGATTATTTCTCCTGACACTTTATCTTTAGTGACCGTAGCATCCTATACATCACATGTAAGTGATTATTCTGATACCATCATGTTTCATCGGTTATAAACTGGCAAAGCTTTATTTGTCATTTATTTATCATCAATGTTGCAACCTTGTGGAGGAATGGCAGGGGCACATACACAAATATGATAATTTATATCATTTTAAATATTATTTGACCTAAAACTAAATGTTTT